GTGGAGGGGGGGGTGCGGGTGCAGCCTGGGTGTGGAGGTGCCGGTGCGGGTGTAGCACAGGTGTGGAGGTGCAGGGGTGGGGGGAGAGCAGATGCAGCACAGGTGTGGAGGGTGGGGGCAGGTGCAGCCCAGGTGTGGTGTGGAGGGTGTGAGGGCCCTGCATGCTGGCTGAATTCCCAGCAGTCCCCGTGTACAGCTCCCTGACCCCCCCGCCCCCGTTGGTCCGGCAGGTGAAGCGGGCTGTGGTGCAGGTGATCAGTGCCATGGCCCACCACGGCTACCTGGAGCAACCCGGGGGTGAGGTGATGGTCGAATACATCGTGCAGCAGTGTGCGCTACCCCCTGCACAGGAGGTAAGGGACGCCGCTTTGCCACCCTTCTGGGCCTCAGCCGTATGGGCGCGGTCGTCAGGAGCTGGGGCCGAGGCACGGAGACGGCCTGCGTTGAGCCAGTCTGCTCAGCGGCTCCCAGTATGCAGAAGGCAGAGGCAGAAGAGACAGGGTTCTCGCTGGCACACTTGTGCTGAAAGGGTACTCAGCAATGCTGGCTCCTTCTGAAGGAGCGGCGCATGGCAGGTTGCAGGTAGATGGGCAGCATGGGCGCCCACCCTGAGTTGCACACCTGCTGGGGAGCACCTCGGCTCAAGGCCCTCCTGCTCTGGGCTCCAGGCCACCTCAGAATAGATGCACCCTGATTTTAGTGGCTCGTGTGTTCCCCATTTTGCTTTGCAGCCTGTGGGTGGATGGTGCTGCACTGTGCTATCTTGTCTGTGGCTTTCTGGGAAGTTCTGAAGTCAGCGTGCCTTCCATCTTTGGTCATCTTTTCTAATCATGTTTTGGTCATTATAGTTCCTTTATATTTTTCAGATAGATTTTAGAATTGTCTTGTTGACTTTTACAAAAATAAACCCATTGGAACTTGAAGGACTGGGACTGTGCTGGATCTGCAGGCCGTTGGGAGAGCGTGGTGTCTTCACGCTGCCCAGCCCAGGGCAGAGCCTGCCTTTGCCTCTGCTCAGGTCTGATTTCATGCCTTAGGTTCGTACTTTCTGGAGTGTGGATCCTGTATGTCCTGGGATTTCTTAGCTGCTCAGCTTTGTCCTCGGGGCCATCATGACAGTAGCCCGTCTCTGCCTGCCTCTTGCCTCGTGTACAGAGACTAGCTTGGTTTTACATGTTGGGCATGGCCTTGGCTTTCCTACAAGTCGTGAAAACATCACACCTTCCTTGGTAGCTTAACCTTTTCCTTCTAGTCTGGGTGTCCTTTCGCTTTCTCACCTCAGTTAGAACCCAGTACCATACTGAAAAGTGGTGAGAGCAGACAGCCTTGCTCCATGCGTGTGCTAAGGAAACTAGTAAGGATATTGTTAGAAATAGGTTTTCCCGGGACCAGCTGTTGGCGTTATGGCTATGTCACTGGACTCCCATGTAGTCAACTGCAGTTCGAGTCCCAGACCTGGTGGCTTAAACTCATGCCAGGCATGCGTGCGTGCGTGCCCAAGATCCCGAGAGGAGAATGGAGGAGAAGGGATTGCGGTGCGGCCATCCCCCAGGGGGTGATTTCTCACTTTCTGTCTCTCTGTCTTTCTGGTGAGCACATGTACCCTATAGCAAAAACCTCTCCAAAGAAAAAAATAATAATAATAATAAAGAAAAGAAAAGAAATAGATTCTCCCTTGGGGCTGGCAGGTGGCCTGGTGGTTAAGGGTGCTGGATTCCCACATGGCCAGCCCTGGTTCAAATCTCAGACCTGGCAACTTGCTTTCTCACTTTCTCTCCCTTTCTCTTTGTCTCTCTCTCTCTCTCACTCTGTTCCTCTCTAGTCAAAATAAGTAAATAAATGAGTAAATAAAGTTAAATAAAATAATTCTTTCAATAAAAAGAAAGAAAGAAAGAGGTTTTCCTAAATGTCTTTTATCAGACTGAAGAAGTTTCTTTTATTTAAGTCTCTTTAAAATTTTTATTTATAATAATGACTATTTTAGATATGCTTACCAGAGGAAGACACAGAGAGGGAAAGTGAGGAAGCAAGCTGCCAGTCTGGGCTTTGAACCATGGTCAGCCATGTCCATGGTCCAGCATCTCAACCACTTCACCACCTGCTGGCCTGAAATTCCTTTTTATTACTAGTTTTCTGAGACTTTGGTCATGTATCTATGTCTATTTTTCTCAAATACTTGTGTGTCTGTTGATAAAATGAACATTGTAATTTTGAGTTCACGTATGCTTGATTACAATGATTACTTTTTAAATAAAGTCTTCTAGTAAGACACTACCACCCTCACCGTCCCCTCGTAGGGGGTGGTCAAGCAGCCTCTTTCCAGTACGGCCAGACCAGACCTCCTTCCTCCTGGCCCCCAGGACTGCCCCGCAGTGCACACTCCCATCTGCCTGCCCATCGCTGGCACCCCTTCAGTTCCCCTCAGAATTCCACTCAGGCTTCATACCAGTGAAGGGCTATGGTTTTTGTCCTTTGTGACTGGCTTGTCCCTCCCTCGCCGGCTGAGCTGTCTGTGGTGAGCCAAAGACACTGCACACGCTGGGCCTCAATTCAGCCCTCACAGGACGGATCTCCTGACGCAGACTCCGGTGCGGGTGAGGCTCAAGGATATGATGCTGAGAGAATTGAAAGACACAGACACCGCACGCCCACCCGAGGTCCACGCACAGACACCGCACGCCCACCCGAGGTCCACGCACAGACACCGCACGCCCACCCGAGGTCCACGCACACAGACACCGCACGCCCACCTGAGGTCCACGCACGCAGACACCGCACACCCACCTGAGGTCCACGCACGCAGACACCGCACGCCCCCACCTATGGTCCTCCGGGAGTCAGATGCACAGAGAAGCAAGCAGACCATGGGTGCCAGCAGACGGGGAGTGTGCAATAACATGTTCTCTGAGACTCCAGATGGGAAGCCTCTGGGTATGGCTGCAGCCATGTACTTAATGCCCTGTCCTTTACACTTAAGAACAGGTGAGAGGGGCCGGTAGGTGGTGTGGTGGTTGAGACATTAAGACTCCTCCTAGGCTAACCATGGTCCAAGTCCCAGACCTGATGACTTGCTTTCTCAATCTCTTTTTCTCTCTCTGATATAATTTAAAATAATAATAATAATATGGGGCTGGTAGGTGGTGTGGTGATTAAATGCACTGGATTCCCACATGGCTGACCACGGTTCACGTCTCGGACCTGGAGGCTTTGCTTCCTT